TTTTTTTTGTAAAATTCTCGAGATGAAAGCAAAAATTTTTGAACTGACAGAGCAAATAGTCATCAAAAATGAATGAAGAGAGAATGCATTTCAAACAATGAAAACAGCACAATTTTTCTTTTTTTTTTCTCTCTCTCAAAATTCCTTTTCTGCGATTTAAAGAAAAGAACTAACAATGTGATAAAATTGATTGTTAGGTAAATAAACACATACTTTGCTAATTATTATTATTATTTTTTACATTTATATGAATATTAAAAGAGCTCTAAAATATTATTTATCTTTATTTTATTTTATTTTTTTCAAATTATTTTCATCACATACCTCTCTCTCTCTCTCTCTCTCTCTCTCTCTGGCTCTCTCTATCTCTCCTTCATTACACTGATTTCATTTTTTTTAATCAAAAAATTTTTGATTACATTTTTAGAAAACCGTTGCCAACAAAAGTTCGAGTAATAATAATTGATAAAAGGAATAAGTAATCAATAAATGAAATAAGTAATTAATGAATGCAATAAGTATTTGTTGAAAGAAATTAAGTTAAAAAATTTGATTCATTTGTAAATTAAATTCAAATGAATATGATAATTTACATTAATAAAATTTCATTTGCTATTAATATCGTTTTGCAAATATCACTGATCTATGATAAGTTTTTTTTTTTTTTAAATACTATTTAATTCCTAGCCTTTTATTTATCGATTTAATTTTTAATTTGAAACTAAAAAAAAATTTTGTTTCTGAAATTTTTGCAAATAGCTTGCTTAATTTGCAATAATCTATGGGTAACTGTGCTGAAATGATTAATTATTTTCTTTTAGAAATGATTTTTGAAATTATTTTTTATTAGTTTAAAATTATTAATGTATGTTATTCCTAAAATAAATAAAATTGTAATTTATTTATGATTTTTTTCTAATATTTTTTAGAATCGTTTTTTGTGAAAGTTTATTTATGAATGCAATTTAATTTAGTATTTGTAATTCGATAATCTCCGATGTTTATTCATTTTTGATAATTTATTTAAAAAAAAAAACGAAAGAAGATACTCTATCAGTATGAAATTAGAATGGTATTATCAATTCTTTTTTTTTTTTTTTCATTCTCAAATATTTTAAAAACTTTCATTTCTTTTTCTTTTTCTTCTCATTTAAAATGACAATTTTAAAATGAATTCTGCAAAAAGGTTATTTTAGAAACTGTGTTGATAACGTAATAGCAAAAAAAAAGAAAAGAAGAAGTGAATTTACTAATGAATCATATTATTTTTGATACATAATGATGTATATTTAAAGTTTTTTTTTTTTTTTGTTATTGTTAATTTGCCATTAGCAAATTTCTTTTTTCACTTTTTTTATTTTTGAAAAAATAGAAAATGTATTCTGGAGTTTTTTTTTTTTTCTATCAGTCAAATTATTATTAGTTATTAAAAAATACAATTGAAATAAATGACGACACTATTTTTTCTTTCTTCAAAAATTAATTTTTAATATTTTCGATTGTTCTTTTTGTTTTTTTTCAAATAATTTTGTTGAATTATATAATTTCCATTTCTGTTAAAGTTTTTTTTTTTTTTTTAAATGAAGATTTGTAATAAATGAAAAAAGTGAAAAGAAAAGAATAAAGAGAATTCTTATTGTTAAAATTTGAAATTTTATTTTTTCCTAAATTCTTTGTCCAATTAATTATCAGTTTCATTCATTCTAATTAACTATTGGAATAAAAAGAAAGAAAATGAAATAAACTGAATGACAGTGTCGAATTTTCATCATCACTTCGCATTTATGAAATTGCATAGTTGCTGACAAATCGGTCATTGTATTTCTTCATTCCTTCTTCTTATCATTTGCTATCATTAAACTATTTATACTCCATTTTAATCCTAAATTCTAGTTTTGGAATTTCCGTCATATGATATTGACGATAAATTGAACAATGTTTCATCTTTTGATAATTTTGAAAGTTTATCTTGATAAGAATTTATCTCTTTTATATATTGATTGTTTCAAATAGTTATTTCATCTTGGAGGGAGTCCGATAGGTACCAGTGTTTCTGAGAAGAATTTATTACCCGCTGTACATAGCTGATTATCCTGGAGTCCGATAGGTACCAGTGTTTCTGAGAAGAATTTATTTACCAGTGTTTCTGAGAAGAATTTATTACCCGCTGTACATAGCTGATTATCCTGGAGTCCTATTGGTACCAGTGTTTCTATTTATTGTACATAGCTGATTATCCTGGAGTCCGATAGGTACCAGTGTTTCTGAGAAGAATTTATTACCCGCTGTACATAGCTGATTATCCTGGAGTCCGATAGGTACCAGTGTTTCTGAGAAGAATTTATTACCCGCTGTACATAGCTGATTATCCTGGAGTCCGATAGGTACCAGTGTTTCTGAGAAGAATTTATTACCCGCTGTACATAGCTGATTATCCTGGAGTCCGATAGGTACCAGTGTTTCTGAGAAGAATTTATTTACCAGTGTTTCTGAGAAGAATTTATTACCCGCTGTACATAGCTGATTATCCTGGAGTCCGATAGGTACCAGTGTTTCTGAGAAGAATTTATTACCCGCTGTACATAGCTGATTATCCTGGAGTCCGATAGGTACCAGTGTTTCTGAGAAGAATTTATTTACCAGTGTTTCTGAGAAGAATTTATTACCCGCTGTACATAGCTGATTGTCCTGCAGTCCGATAGGTACCAGTGTTTCTGAGAGGAATTTTTAATTTATTAGTTGATCATTCCGAAAGGCTGTTTCATCGTCGAATTATTTCATTTTATCAATTCATCCGATCTTTTTTTTTATCAAAAAATTTTTGCATTTTACACATTCTTATGCAAAAAAATAAATAAATAAATAAATAAAAAAAACTGAAAAAACCAAGAAAATAGGCAAATGATGGAAAGATTTTCATTGATGATATATATTTAATGTGTGTTATTGGATGATTGATGGTATGTTTCGATAAAATAAACCATCCAATCAGCCAACGAACCAAATCAACCAAACTAAACCAAAGCAACCAATGAAACCAAAACAATCAACTAATCCAGATGAAAATAAACAATTAATTACTAATTATTATTTTTGCAAACTTTTTTAATTCTTTCTCATCATTTTTTTCTTCCCATTTTAGTTTTAAAAAAAAAAAAAAAAAAATTAGAAAAAAAAAGGTAAACGATTATAAAACTGTGATAAAAATTTTCAAAAATAATTCCAATTCCAAAATAGAAATTTGACTTTTGTACTATTAGTAATGCAAAATGGATAAAAAGTAAGAAAAAGATAAAAATTGATGACCTTCATTTTGTTTTGTTTTTTCTTTTCTTTTCCTTTCTTCTTGTTCTTCCGTTCCTTATTAAATTACATTTCTTATTTTTCATCGTTTTTCGTCTGCTTCATTTCATTTCATTTATTTTATATGACTAATTTTTAATTTCAATTCTGTTACTTTATTTGAAATTTTGATATTAAAAAAAAAAAAGAAAAGTTTAATAAGAAATTATTACTTTTTTAATCAAATAATCATTTCATACTATTGTCGGTATTTCAATATAATTTCCAATTTTGTAATTGTTATTATGTTAAAATAGCAAAATCTATTTAATAAGTTTATTTATTTATTTGTTTTGTTTTTTTTTTTTTTTTTTTTTTTTTTTACATTTGGAATTCAATTAGCTCTTTGCTTTTCATTCATTAATTTTCTCCAGTTTTTCATTCTAAATTACCAGAAGAGAAATTATTTCCAATATACTCAAATATAGTTTAATTTCATCTATAATTCTTATTATTTTCTCTTTATATATTTATTTTCTGAACAATATTCCTTTATTTATTGTTTTTCATTAAGCTTTTTAAAACAAAACGAAAAAAAAAAAATTATAAATATTTTTACAGTAATTATCTTTGTTGCTTTTTTGGAGTATTTTTCGTATTGATTTATTGAAATGATTCAAGTAAATCATTATTCTTCATTTTAATCCTCTTACGATAAAACTTTAATTTTTAATTAAAATTTTCTTAACTTTACCATTTATTTTTGTTAACTTTCTTTTCCCAATAAAGAAAGCCAGAGTGATAATAATTTGTGATAAGATAAGATAAGATAACAGTGATGATTCAAACTTTGATATCTTATATTTTTGATATATTGGAAGTAAATTAACCGAAATTACAGGTAAGCAAGTATCGCATATTTGAATATTTCTTCTGCGTCCCTGTTTTTTTCATTTCTTTTTTCCATTTACTAACATATATTAAGAGCTTGTCGTAATTCCGGATAAGTAATTGCCAAACAGTTTATCCTGGTTCCGGATTAATGATTGCATCCAAACTAATTGATATCAGTGATGATTTGATCGATATTTCTATTTATAAACTCTAAGTGCTCATTTGAGCGGAATATATCCATCATAAATTATTTATTTTAAAATTTATGATAGAAATAACTATTTCGAAATGTTAAGAAAATGATGATGGATCAAAAAAAAAGGTTTTTTTTTGATATTAATTTCAGTTTTTTTTTTCTATATTTATTGATTAAATGATAGTAATATTATATTTTTATTTATTTTTTTAAAGAGAACATCAATCTTTGATTATCAATTTTCTTAATTTTTTGATTAATTTGTTGAATTTTTTGTTCTTTTTCTCTGCCTTCTAAACATTTTACCATTAATTTTATTAATTTCCGATTTCTTTGTTTTTTCTTTTCCATTTGACCATTTATTTATTATATTATTTAAAGGATTGATTATATTGAAACGATTGTGCCTTCTTTTATCAATCAACGAATTATGGCGCTGTAAGCAAAGAAGAAAAAAAGCAAAAATGCAACAATACTATTATTAAATTCAATGAAAGTAAAATAAATATTTACACTTTTCAAATTTGATTTTATAATTTTGAAATTTTTTTCCTTCATAAATTATTGAAAAAGAGAAGAAGAAAATTTTCAAATTGCATTAATTATTAACAAAATCAACAAGAAAGCGATGTTTCCACCACATCGACCTGCACTAGCAAGTACTAGTAGTAATCCGGCACAAATTTCAACTACTGCTACTACCAGTAATTCTGGAAATGTTATTGGAATATCAATGAGAACACCGGAACCATCACCACGAATACGTAAAGATGCTACCACGGTATGTATTAAATTGTAATTTATTTCATTATTGTATGATTATACCAATGATTTAAAAAAAAAAAGCAATTTAAAATATATCATAGATAAATTTAGATAATTATATCACTATGCTGTTAAATTTTAACTGTTTAAGTTAAAATAATATTGATTAATTGAAATATTCGAACAAATCATTTTTTTTTCCTTTCCTGCAAATAATCCTTCCATAATAGTGAGATTAATCGAAAATTAAATTCATTATATAATATTTAAATAATGATTAATTTTTCAGGATGTACGTATTGGCGTTGGTAGGCATCGTGATAAATTGGAACAAATCCGGGATTCATTACGTCCGTTTGAACAAACCGGTAATATGGATGCATCAGTAGCAACAACGACAGCACTAGCATCATCATCATCATCATCATTGTCACCAAATAACAATAATAATAATAATTTTACAGTTGAGGATGAGACTCGACGACAAATTTTAATTAATACGTTGACACAAATTGGCTTTGAAGAGGTTACAGTTGTTTTATTTTGTATATCTTACATTATAAATTTAATTTCTTGAATAAAGATATGAAATTTTTGAACCAAAATTAATTAATTATTTATTTAAAAAATTGAATGAAATTAGAGGATTCAAATCTATTAAAGATTTCAAATGTTTACAAATAAATGAGGAATTTTATGACATATGTTTTTAAACAAAAGAAAGAAAAAAGTTTTCCAATGAAATTAAAAATTCATTAAGGTTTTGCTATAATAAAAGAAAATAATTTATAGAAATATTTTTCTGTTTTATTTTTAATTTTGTTTTTTAATTTTTTCAGCAAGCAGCTCTTTTAGCTCTTGAACTTGTCCGTTATTCAAGTGTCGCAGCAGCAGCTGAAGTCTTATTAAATCTCAATAAAGAACATGTCTTTCGACAGGTATTGTTTTTCTTTCTTTATAACAGTAATAGTAAAATTTCTGCTTATCCTAAATTTTGGAATTAAATATTAAGTATTATTCGTGCAATTCATGAATTCGTTAAAAATTTGAATTTTTTGTTTGAGATAAATTCTCTTATTTTATAAATTATTTTCTTATTTAACAAAATTTGTTAATTTCTATTCCTGCAGATTCAAAATTTTACTTTAACTTCCATGTTTTTTTTTTTTCTAGGATTTACGTGACTGTGGCGGAACATTTCATGGGTCATTATCATCAGTTGTAACTACAGCTTCATCATCTCCATATAACAATAATACTACTACTAATACTACTCCTACTACTAATAATAATAATAATAACAATGGTATGATATCAAGCAACTCCAAAATGATGGTACCATCCGGTATAACCGGTCAGGTAATGGGAGCAGCACCACCGATTTCTGGAATAATGATAAATGCTCAAATACCGACAACATCAATTTTAGCAAATATCGATGATAGTTCATCAAGTCGATCAAATAGTCCTCTGGCAAGAATACCAAGTCCACCAGCATCAGCTGCTTCTTTTCAGTATGCATGTTCTTTTTAAATTACAAATATCGGACTATTGCCATTGATAAATTTTAAAAAACTTTTCACCACAAATAATCTTTTATTTATCACATCGATAGCTGACTAGTTTGATGAATTAAATTGAAATATATTTTAAAATTCACTAATAATTTAATCATTTTCATTTATCAAAATTTTTCACTATTTTCAGAGTACGTTCGACAAGTCCGTCACTGCAAATTATCACCAATCCTTATCATCAAGCAAATGATTATCATCGAATGCATGTTCATTTGCCAATGTTAATTCTAACTTTATTATCGCTTTGATTTTAATTTTTGAATTTCTACAGCCATACATTATTCAGTTAGATAAAATATACTTTGTTTAATAAGATTAAGCATAATGAAAAACATATTAATATAATATTGGTAGCAGTTATTATGAATTTAATTATCGTACTCACTACTGTTTCCTTTTTCAAAAAAAAAAAACTAATTTTTAACTCTTAATAAGTATTAGAAAAACTTAGTAAAGTAAATCTTGACTTCCTCAAATTCAAGTGTTTCTTATCCTAAATATATAAAATTTTATTCTGTTCCTTATTTCTTTACTTTATCCCCATTTTCTATTTGTATTTTTGAAATTTATTTTCAGTGAATCATCAAAGTATTGCTATAATAATGCTGCCAAAACAGCGGTAAATAATTATGATTACGGATTAGCGGCATCATCATCATCATCACAGGTTACATCAGCCGCAACATCATTCACGTCAGGTACACCGTTAGCCGGAATTACTCGTAGTCGAAAAGTGGATCGACCATCAACGCAACAAGCATCAGCAATTATTAATATCGACGGATTGCAAGGATGCACTGATCGTGTGGCTAAGTAAGTAAAATTTTCAATCATAAGTAATTATTAAATGATTTAACTATTAAATTTTACTTTAATTATTAAGTATTAATATAAGATGCATGTCTAAATAATTGTTATTATTGCGATCAATGAGGAATATTTTTTTTTTAAGACCAACACGATCGCTAACTTCTCGATCTCATATGAACAATGCTAATGCTTTACGAAGATCTGATGCGTTACCAGTGATAAGGACACGATTAGAAAGACCGATTAATACAAGACATCCATTGAATACTTCTGGTTCGTTGCATAAAGTGGTAAGTTATCAAATTTTTTCTTAAGCAAAAAGAAAAAAAAGAATGAAGTGGGAAAAAATGAAAATGAAAAAAAAATATTAAACTTAAAAAAAAATAATATTTGTGATTTTTAAAAAATTTTAACAACTTTTGAGTTAGAAAAGGGAATTATTTATTAATTAAATTTATTTTATTTGAAAATTTAGCATTCGAATAAACACATATTATATCGTTATGTAATTCAAAAATTATCACTGATAATTGAATTAAATGACTAGATTAAAATGATTTTATAAATACTTCTTTTGATACAATGAACATAGATTAAAATACTTCTATATTAATTTATTATCCAAAAAGAAAGAAGTTAGTTGGATTAATTTAACAATTCATACTTATTTGCTTCTTTTTTCATTCTATTTTTTTTTTCTCGAAATCTGATTCGGATCGATATAACAAATATGCAATGAATGAAGTTGATGAAGAAACAGTTGAAATAGCAACAACACATGGCAATTTATCGACAACAAACGGTATACAACGAATACTGGTTGATCCGGATAGACCATCTACTGCTTATGCTAATTATGCTGAACAGGTGACTGTATTCCATGATGAATAAAATTAAATTATTATAAACGTAAAAAAATTTTTTAATGCTGAGAAATGTTTAAATTTTAAAAATGATATTATTGTAGTATTTTTTTGCGCTATTCAGAGTGATGATAATAAGTCTCATAAACTGTAGTATTATTTGATAAGATGCAGTATCTCTTACTTTGTCTTTTTTTTTGCAGTTATGTCGGAGAACAAATCTTCTTGCTGTCAGTGAACATGATTCAACTCTATCAAGCGCGTATACTGAATTGAGCAATGGTTATCATCGAACTTCAGGCGTTACAGTGCCACGTCCTGTTTCACCTAATATTTGTGCAAAAACGTAAACTTTTATTTTTATTATAGTAACTTATATATTTTAAAAGAAAATAGCAATATTAGTAGCTTATATACTTAAAATTGCTAAAATTAATAGCTTATTTATTTGAAGAAAGTATTGTTTGTTTTTCTGTTATAATTTCTCGTTTAAAATAATGATTTATGTTTGAGAAAGAATGTGAAAATGTTTTAAATGCTGGACAGCAAGCATTTTCAGTAGATTTGTCATGTCTGATTTTTTGCTAATCTTCATCATTTATCAGTAATCTATTTGAAAATTTAAACTTCATTCTAACTTTATTTCAACTAATATAATTTAATTCATCGTAATTTTCAATGCCAATTTTTATCTTGAATTGTTATCATACAATAACATTATTTATTCCTCACTTATACTACTTATTGATTTTTAGTGATAGATATGTATACTAATTTAATATTTGAAATTTATATGTAATATAGAAAATTTTTATTCACAATCTAATCTGTCAAAATTTAATGTTCATTTCTTTAAGCATTTTCTTTTGCTCATTTTATACACAATTAGAAGAATCGTATCGAAATTTCATTACCACCTGTCTTTCCTCATTTCATGTTTCGAGAGGACAAATGATATCCATCCTATTTGCAAATATTGAAAAATGAAAAAGATTTCTCTCTGAAATGCTTTACTAATGCAAACAATATTTTAAAAATATACCCCGCAGCATATGAAGGAAAGTAAAATTAAAAAGTTAAATTTATTACAAACAGTAGTTAAGCAATAGGTATAAATAATGGGTAATAGAAATGAATAGATAACTTTTATTTTTTTATAATAACAAATTATTGTTTTTCGGATTGTTTTATTTAAAATATAAATATAAATTTACACTTTTTTTCTATGAATTCTAAATTTTGAACTCTCGTATTTTTACTACTTTGAGAAGTATTAGTGAAAAGAAAGTAATATTATTATAGAAAAATAATAATAATATTATTGCATAAAAGAAGAAAATAATATTATATAAGATGATAACTTGAAATAATTTTGAGATGATGACTTAGATAATTTTGATATCAAAAATACAACTTCAAAATGTTTAATAATTATAATGATTAAGCACATTAATACGTATTAGCCTTGCAAATAATATTATTTTCATATTTTATTTTATTACTTCTAATATATATTTAAATTTATAGAAGTTGCGATGTATAATTATTAAACATTGTATTTAATAATTAATAGTAATTTATTGGTCATAGATGAGAATGTAGAACAGGAAAAAAATTGAATTATTTTATTAATGAAGATGGTTTTAATAATTACTTTAAAATTTGAATTTATTACATTCTAAAATGTTTTATGATAGTATAAATGATGAATCATGAATCATGCAATGGTGTAATATTTGTTAAAATGTTTCCGTCCAAAAATATTAAATTAGATGGGTTACATATGATGGTAATTAGGTAACAACTGATACAGTAATGAATTATTAAAGATAACTTCTTTGCATTCCTAAACTTTACACTGCTACTTTGTACTTCTACTTTTACAGTGTTATTTCGATCAATCATTCATCGTTACGAAATTATTTCCGGAATTTCCTTTCTTTTTTTTTTCTTTTTTCGCAAAAAAAAATTATACATAATTAACAGAAGAAATATTGCCATAAAAGAAAAAAGTCAAACATACTATTTGTATAACTTTTAAACCTGAAATATTTTAGGGATATTATTTTGGAATTTCAGAATATCTTAGTATTAAGATAATTTAAAAATTTTTAGTAATCAGAATGACTAATACAAGTTAGCTTTGTGATGTATAATCAATGCTTAATCAATTAAGCATTAAATTTAGCCTATTTGCAAGGCCAATACATATTAATGTGCTTAATCATTATGATTATTAAGCATTTTAAAGTTGTATTTTCGATATCAAAATTATCTAAGTTATCATCTTCTATGACAATATTTTCTTGTTTTATTTTATTACTTCCAATATATATTTAAATTTATAGGAGTGGCGAAACGGATGAAGTTACGCGTTGCATATCTCCCTTACCAGGAAGTATTTTACGTAAATTACGTACAAATACGTATGAATCTGTTATTAAACCATGTAAGCCACGACTATTTTGCTTTTACATGGAGCAACACGTGGAACGCTTAATACAGCAATACAAAGAGCGTCAACAACGTGCACGACAGGTTCTTTCATAAATCTTTTTTATTCTAAATAAACTGACGTAGTGTGTATGCAACAATGTTCACGTGAAACATCTTTTTTATATTTTACCTTATGATGACATAATCATTAAATGATACTTTTAATTAAACGCTATGCTCACTTTACTTTTTTTTCATAAAAGAATTAAACGTAAAGTAATTTCATCTTTTTTTAGCTTGCTAAAGAAATGGAATGTGCAGATTTACCAGAAAGTATGCGTGAACATATGATGATATTTTTAACGCAAAAAGAATCACGTTATTTACGATTAAAACGACAAAAAATGAATAAAAATATGTTTGAAGTGGTGAAACATATTGGTTTCGGTGCATTTGGTCGTGTATCACTGGTTAAAAAGGTTACAAATTTGAATTTTTTTGCACTCTATTTTTTAAATTAAAACAATTTTTTCTTGGTAAAGAAATCATTCAAGGCGGCTTCTTCATTCATTTATTTTAATAATATCTTTTTTTTTTCAAAATTTTATCATCAATATTTTTAGAAAGATACTGGTCAAGTGTATGCGATGAAAAAATTATTGAAAAAAGATGTAATCATGAAGCAGCAGGCAGCACATGTGAAGGCTGAACGTGATATTCTTGCTGAAGCTGATAGCAACTGGATTGTCAAACTTTATTATTCATTTCAGGTGGCCATTTATTTATTACATATTGTTTTCATATATCAAATCTTTAGTACTGTTATGGTTTAAGATCATATTTGTTTGTTTTATTTTAGTTAAATGAACTAAACATTTAATTTATACATTCCTGATTATTATGAAATATATATTATTTGATTTTTTAGTTGATAAAATATTTGAATAAGATATGCGGCACGGCAGTTTCGATTGGATGATTTACTTCAAAATAGAAATAATTATACACAAATGCCACAGCATTGCTTTAATTACTATTTAGAATCACTAAATGGTCAATTCTGATCTGTAAAACAAAATAACGAAACATTGAGAAGACAGAACTTAGTTTCTTTTTTTCTGTGAATAAGAAATGAACTTAATTTTTAGGATGAACAATCTCTATATCTTATTATGGAATATGTTCCGGGTGGTGATATGATGCAACTTCTTATTAACAAGGGATTATTCGAGGAAAAACTTGCTAGGTAAAGTTAGCTTTATCTGGTAAATGTCTGCTAAGCTTAATAGTAATGCACTTTATAATATAATATTAATATAACACTTTATAGTATTAATTTTTTTCCTTCATTCGTAAAAGTACAAATTTCGAATATTTGAAATGTTTTTCCTTTTTTTTTTACAAAAATTATTCATAAAAATTTTAGGTTTTACATTGCTGAATTAACATGTGCCATCGAATATGTTCACGGCCTTGGTTTCATTCATCGTGATATTAAACCAGATAATATATTGATTGATCAGAATGGCCATATCAAGTTGACCGATTTTGGTTTATGTACGGGTTTGAGATGGACGCATGATAAACGTTATTATGGACCTGATAATGATGAGGTTTTCTTCTTTTTCTTCTCTTTAATTTCTTATATTACTTACTTTTTGAAATAATTAAGTTATAATTTAGTGCTATAATTGCTGAGCAAAAAAATCATTTATAAACCAAAAAATACTGATATATTCAAATTTTTATGAGAGTAATTTTCTCAGTTTCAGTTTTTACAACTAAATGATTACATAGAGTGAGCAATAATAAATATTCTAACAACAATTTCATAACAACAGACGAAAATCATTCTGTTTGAGTTATTTTTCATTTTCGTCCAACCATTCGATAACGAAATTTTCTTGGAACATTCGGACAAATTTTTTAGCAATTTTTTAGGATTTGTTTTTTCCGTCGGTGAATAATTCTAGGATTTTTATATATCGCATGCAAAATGGACTATTATTTACATTCCCTACAGGTAGAGAACACGGAAACACAGAAAAATTATTTGGCTTCACATCCAAATTTGTCAGGAATAAATCGACCAAAAGTATTAGAAATCAGAAATCATTGCAAACGAAATCAATCACATTCATTAGTAGGAACTGACAACTATATGGCACCAGAAGTAATTCGAGGCACTGGTAAATCTTATAACAACTTTGAAAAAAAAAAAGTTTTTCTTTTCAAAATTTTTTATTGTTACCATTTAGTTGAGCATGAATTATTCTTTTAAAGATACATCGATTTCTTTCCAACTCCTTACATTTATTTCTATTATAGGTCACACACAACTTTGTGATTGGTGGTCTGTTGGTGTCATTTTGTATGAAATGGTTTTCGGTAGACCACCATTTCTCTCGGAAGATCGTTATGAGACACAGTATAAGGTATGTACAAATATTCGTTTTTATTGCCAAATAAAATTGAAATTTCATGAATTACATAAAGAGAATTAGAGATTTCATTCTCGTGCTTTTTGTTTTTTATCTATATTTTTTTTCTTTTTTCTAATTTCATTTATTTTATTATAAAATGTTACAATGTTAATTATTGTGATTCTAAAAATATAGATTGTAAAATGGCGGCAATATCTTGATTTAAATAATCGCATTGGTGAAAAATTATCACTGGAATGTATTGATGTAATTCGGAAATTATGTTGCGAACAAGAAGATAGACTTGGTTGTAAAAATGGTGCAGAAGATCTTAAAATTCATCCATGGTTTAAGGTTTATTGTTAAATATTTTCAGTTTCAAATAAAGATTTTCCTTTGAAGATTTCCGAGCTTTTTTTTCTCTGTTGTTCATTAAAACAAAATCTCATTGAGGAATTGTTAGTTTAACATTTTGCAAATTTAATTTAATACATTTTGTAGGGTATCGATTTTTCAACGTTGCGTTCTACACGTGCCGAATACATTCCACGTGTTGAACATGCTGAAGATACATCAAATTTCGACACATTTGAATTTGATTCCTCCGATCAGTCATTCGATACAGTGGCAAAACGTGCAAGCGCTTCTGCAGCATTCAATCCAGCATTCTATGAATTTACATTTCGCCATTTTTTCGACTTTGATGGACAAGTATCCAATTTTTACTTTTACTTTCAAAATCCAAAGTATTCTGAAACTACTCTAAAAGCACAAATGGTCATGAAATGCATAGAATTACTACTGATCATATCATATCAGCAGCATTCTTTTTTGACAGTTTTTATATCACTTAAAACTGTTCGATTTCAATAATTATTTTTTAGTATCTCAAACAAAACTAGTAATAGGACAAAATTAATTGTTGCCATCTTCGCTAATTCGTCTTTTTGCTAATAATTTGTCTTTACTACTAAATATAATTGTTTTAAATTTCATTTTTGTTTTAAATTGCAACAAAATTCGATATGATTCATTCACATTATAATTTATCATTCATTTTAAATGCAACATTATATTAATTTCCCATCTTAAATTTTAATTTAGCTATTAATTAATCAGTTTAATGAAATAGCAATTATTAGTAAATGAAAATTTACACATTATTATGTATATTTCCCTTTTTTTTTTCAGGGTTGTCCCAGTTTTCGTAAACGTCGACCATCATTGGCACCTTTATTGGAAGCTACCGGTGCTACTGTTGCTACTACACATTCAGGCATTTCGAGTCATATTAACAAGACCAAAGATTTTAAAAATAATAATGGCAGGACGAATAGTGGTAATATGAAGTTTCGATTGCCAGCAGGAGCACTGTCACCACAATCATTAGCAATGAAAGCAACAACGACGGTGGGAATTGTGCAAGGTGATGAATATGAAAGTGATGACTCATTAGTTGTATAAATTTTAAATTTTCATTTGAAAATATTGAAAAAAGTTCTGCAGGATTAAGTTTTTTTTGGCCATTTGTTTTCTCCTTAATTTATCATGAAATTGCAATACTTTTCTTCATTTCTTTTGAATATCTATCTGTCTTTTTTAGATGTACACATGATTTTTTTTTTTGCCTTGGTAGTCCGTGAAATTTGTTTTTCCATTTTTCTTTTTTTGTTGTTTTTTGTTTTTGAAATTACATTATTCATTTCTAAACATTTCACTTCTATCTAAAAAAAAAAAAATGAAAATGAAAAGCGGTTAATATGAACTTTTTTTTTTCCGAAATAGGTCAGAAAATTCACAGTGATTTTATTTTCAATTCTTTTATGTTATAAAACTATGAACATTTTAAAAGTTTCTTGAATTAATTATGCATGAAATTTAATGCTACTAATCAACAAAGGATGGAAAATAGAGAACTGAAATAAGAAATGGAAAATATATAAAATGCATCGTACATGAAATGGGTTGGAAAAGATTGAACGGAGTTATATATTGCAAATTTTGTGATAATTCATAGAAAATTAAAAATGTTAAATTAGTTCCAATTCAGTTTTTTGAAATTCATTTCATTTTATACATGAAAGTTGCTCCATGAGAGTTACATACTTTTACTGTTGCAACTTTTTTTCTCACAGTTATTTGTTATCACTTTTTGATGTGTAATTTAACTTCCAATTTTTTCTTTTTTTTTTAAATCACTTGGAAAATAAAGAAAAGTTAGAATTTTTTGTTCCTTTCTTTTTTCTTTTTTATTTTTAAATAATAAGGCATACAATTGTAATATGATTATCTTCTTACAGGATGAAAATTTATAATAATTAATTACAACGAGGAAATTAAACCTTTTGATTTTCATTTCATTTTAATTGCGGTTAAATTACTATGCCATATTTGCAAAGTATCTATCAATTAGTGTCAACGTGTATGTGTGTATGTAGTATGTATGTGCATGTGTGTGCGGAATTATTGATATTAGTGACTGGTGACAATGAGATGTTTGTTTTATAATAATATTTCATTTTAATTTTGTTTATTTTTATGTTGTCTGTAACCTTTCTTATCGCTTTGTTGCGATGTATTATTGTTAATGCAAATGAATGCTCAAATAAATCAAATTTCTCATTGTTTTGATTCCTTTTGTATTGTTTTTCTTTTGCAAATAATTTGACATTTAATTGAAAGAAATGATTTGACGAAACATTGAGAAATCTATAAAACAAGAAATAATAAACTTATCTATTCAGCGTGAAAAGTGGGAAAACAAATTTAAGAATGAAATTTACAAAATTATAACACAAAAAAAAGTTTCTCTGTTTTTTCTGTTTTTTCCTCTTTTTTTTTTTGGCAAATTTTCTATAAAATGTTAAACTTTCTTCATTTAGCTTACAAAATTTTTTAATAAATAAATTTATACAAAGTTAGAATTTATCTGAATGATATCATTCGAATTAATTTACTCTGAGCTAATTGATTAATTTCATTTCTTAAACAATTTTAGCGAAATTAAATTGGTCAAAAAAGTATCGCATAAGATATTTATTCATTTTAAGCCAAGAAAATGCCAAATATCTTTTTTTTTTTTTTTTTGGAATCCTAATAAGAAAATAGTTACCACACGTACTACACGTACGTAGTTCTCAAAATATTAAGAAGTAAATGGATAAAGGAGTAGAAAAAAAGAAATAAAAAATGTCTGTCTAATTTTATTAAACAAATCAACATGACATATATAATTTACAATTGTTAGAAAAGTTACGTTAACTTTACGTAAAATTTGCATTTTTTTTTTTTTGATAACTAATTTTTGTTTTCAAACCATCTTTTTATCAAAACCATCTTTTCAGGTAATTTAAATGATTTATAAAATTTATAATCAATTGAACAGTTAAATACAATCAATATTGTTGAAGTAGTTATTAAGATGATTATTAACAATGTGTGCTAATTTCATGAAAAAAAATGAGTAAAACATTTTTCGATGTTTGATGAAATTAATGAGATAATATATATAATTAGATTTAATTTTTCAAAATTTAACTTTTTTTTTCAGATTTGATTTAGCTTTTTTTTTCATCTTTCCACCAGTAAATTTTATTAGATTCATACATGATAAAGTAATTGTTAATATCATCTTTTTCACTCAAATCTTTCTTGGAAAAAAGAATTTAAATAATTTATAACAAAGATTTAAATCTTTTACATCTAATAAATAAAGTATTTTGTTTACTGCTATATGCTAATTACTGTGAATAATAATAACTAAACAGCGCTATTATCGCTACTTCAATAATTTTAACAAAAAAGTAAGTAAAATGAAAGAAAAAAAAAATCAAACAAAATTTTCGATTCCATTTGTCTTACGATAATAATTTATTATATTATATTTGTTGCATAAACCAATTTAATATTTAAATTAAAGAGTATTAATTACTAATACTATTAGTTTCGAATAATTTATTTTAGCAAATATCTTTTCATTGAATATTTGATTGTAATTTACAAATGCATTTTGATAATGTGATAATATCTCAATCATTGGAAAGAAAAAGGGAAAAATTTATTAGTATGAATTAAGATAGAAAAATTTATTAGTAAATAACAATTTAAAATTCAATTTTATATCATAAAAAGAAAAAAATACATATACATATATATATTCAATTGAATGCAATTTCAGGGAAATAAAATACTTTTTTAAAGTTCAAATATGCAATTTAATATAAATGAAAATTTCAAAGAATTATTTATAAGCAGTACGAATAGAAAAAATATTAATATTATTCATTTAAACAGATGAATTAGCTAAAAATTCTGCACCATTCCTTTCTTCTTTTCCTTTATTCTTTATTTTATTATTTCTTTTTTAATATTTAAAACTTAAATTTAAAAATTAATTAATTAGAAATGTCGTTTTTGACGATAACACACTTTTTAACAAAAAGATTTTAAAAAAGGGAAAAAAAAATTATAATAAAAGGATAAGCAATATAGATCACAAAAAATATTTCATAGTTGTGGGATTTTATAACCGAATTCTTGTTTGGTGACATTAGGATATGGTTTGCCGATTTTTTGCATCTGCAAATTATAATACAATTATTTTAATTGAAATGAAATAAATAAATTCTTGCATTTATTAATTAATAAAGCAGTTAATTAATGTAAATTATTAATTATGTTGAAAACTTAAAATAATTATATTTTCTTCTATTGTTTAAATATTTTTGTTTGTTTGTTTCTTTTTTATTTAATTAATTAATTAATTATTTTTTTTTTGTTCCCTTTTTTCTCATTAATATAATGATTTGACCAATGAATAAGATTAAATTGAGTTGATGAATTGGAAGAATTCAACCGGAGAATGGATTCGACTTGCCAGCTTGCTGCAACTGAAAAATTAGTAGAAAGTAGTAATAATAAATGAATTAGTTTGGTTAATTTGACCTTTTTTCTCCTTTCTCTCTCTCTCTCTCTCTCTCTCTCTCTCTCTCTCTTTGACAATGATAAATTAAATAATAGTAATTTGGTGCAGAAAAAAATGAAATATTTAATAGTATTTGTTGATTTAAATTGTGGGAAAACATTAATTAGTTAAATTTTTTTTCTTACTTTTATTGCTACTACAACTGTTATTATTGTAAATACAATTATTATTTTTACTTTAATTACTGCGTAAATTATGAAATATTAGGCGTAGTATTAAGTTGAAGTGAGAAAAGTAATGTCGAACACGTGTCACATCCACGTAATAGTTACGTTTAGATAAGTGTATAAATTTGCAGAGAAATATAAAGCATGCAGAAAAGTGCATCATAATATGTCACAAATGCTAAATGCAAGTTGTTTAAGTGAATGAATGCTAAAGTGAAAGTTAAAAAATTGAAATATATTTAATTTTATGAAGTTAATAATAATTTAATTAAAACAATTCATTCATTAAAAAAAAAAAAAATATTCAAAGAATTCATTTTTAGAAAGGTAATGTTTAATTTATGTAAATGCAGTACGGCAAATTTGTAATAATCATTATTTTCAAATTTAAGATATTTTGAAAATTTTGCAAATTTCAATGACTAAAAAAATTTTTATTAGTATAACAAAGTTTTATATTATTTATACATTATTTTATATATTAGTATAACTAAGTTTGAAAATTTTAATTCACTCAGGATATATTCAATTCAGCCAGTAAAAAGAATCTGTTGAAAAAAAGTACGAACTTTTCGGCCAAGCGACAATAATGTGACACAAACGGAAAATAGATCGCGACCTTCGAAAAGGTCAACTGATTGGAAAGTTTCCTCAGTTGGAACACCCATCGTTTTAGCCCAAGCAACGAATGCATTAATATTTTCCATGCAAGCAAAATTTGAAATTGGTTTTTGAATTTTTTTTATAGCATTAGGCTCAATACCATTTGCTAATCTGAAATGAAAACACATCATATTAATTAATGTTTATTATTTATAATTAAATTCGAAAATTTTAATTCAATCAGCGATTTATTCATTAAAAATTGCCATCGCAACATTTGGAAAAGGTTAATCAAAATTTCATTTTTTTAATGTCATGAGGAGGATTAACAATAAAAATAATAATAATAATAATTGGATTACTGTGACTGATTTTTATTTATTAGTGATTTAAATTTTTTGTTTCTCTTTTGCAAAAAAAGAAGAAATTTAAACGAATTAAAATTACCTCTATCATTCAGTAAAAGAAACGAATTGTAAAAAAGTGTTCCGTTAAAATACAAAATGCAAAAAAAAAAAAAAAATTCTGAAATAAAGTAAAAATTTCCTAATCATTTATAACAATTCAATCAGAATTTCTTCAATATATGATTGCTACTAATCTAATAATAATGCAATCATAAACTTAAAAACCAAAAAAAAAATATTTCTTTTCATTTAACTCATGTTGAATTATTATCATCCTGTCAATTGTTCAGATCCGGAATGGATCCGGAATGGCATTTGTTCCGGAATAATATGCCTGTTTAAGTCATCAAAAGCATATCACTTATCTCTTTGTTAGCAATTAACAATATCTAATTTAAAATCATTCCTTTATTGTGGAAATGCTTTTATGAATAAATTTCACCAAAGAAAGTTTAAAAGCAAAAATTAATTTTTTGAAAACAAATTAAAAAACAAAAAAAGAAACCTATTTAAATCTTTGTTTAATATTAGTTTTTTTTTGCATGTGTAACTGAATAATTGAATTCTGTTATTAACATACAATTAATTAATTAATTAATTAATTAATTAATGGCTGAAGTGATATTATATCAATGAAGAATAATGGCAAACATAAAAGAAATTATTGGAATTTATTAGAGATACGATGAATAATAAATACTAAAAGTTTAAGATAATTCTCAATCTGAAATAAGTCATCGATCATTCAATGAAATCAATAAGTCTGACTTTACAATTTCGAGATTAGCTATCTCACATTCAATCTTACGGTAACTTTCCGATTTTTATGGCTTGTTGAAGTCATAATTGATAATAATAATTATTATTATCACTGCAATAAAAAGGAAATGACAATAACGAAAAGACAATATAATAACAGTAGAAATAATAGTAATAAAATAGTAGTAATGAAATTGAGTGATATCAGAATTCGTATTTATCAATGATATCAGAAATTTTATTGTCAGAAAAAGTATTTTATTTTTTTTTTACTGTTATTGCAGTTTAAATATAGAAAATAAACAAAAAGAATTCTAAAAAATTCGACACATATTTCTTTAGTTTTATTCATTAAGTTAATAAGTTTTCATATTTCATTAAGTTAATTTTACTAATGGTCAATTAGAAAAAAAAAAGGAAATATTACTAATAGAATTTTTAAAAGAATTTTTTGATTTATTAATTTTTAACATTTCCATACACACACATACGCTACTTTTTCACTAATTATCAATTAATGTTTGACAGAATCTATGCAATAACTTTTTCTAAATTAAAGCAAATAAAATGAAATATAAATTTTCATCATTTTACAATTGTTAAAATTTAACTGATAAAATTTGAATATAATTGAAAATGAAATATATGAAATTAAATTTACTTGCAAAGAAGTGTTCCATCTTTTAATAATTTAGCAAAATTCTCAGGTGTTCCTTGAGTAGAAATATTTTCGCCGCTTATCTTCTTGATCCATTCCAATAAGCCCTCTGCTTCTTCAGCATTAAATTTTGATGCTTGCTATAAGCTATTCTTTATCATTTTGCATACATATAATATCACAGTTAATGAATTATCAGTCTTATCACATTCTTATCACTATATATATATACATCATTAATGTTATAAAAAGCATTCCAATATTTGACATATAGTATTACTTTACTACTATAACAAGTAATATTTAAGTTATAAAACGATTGTTCTATTAATATTTTAAATTAATATTTGAGGAATAAATGAATAAAGACAGAAAGTTACCAAAAAATTTTTTTAATGTATAAAATTTTTTAATTTAAATCTCGGAATAGAATTTTCGTTTAATTATCTTTTTTTTTTACCTTTTTTCGCTTCTTTTACCTTATTTTTCTTTTTTTTTTCGCCCAAATAGCTAATAATCAATTCTAATTCCAGAAAAAGTAAAAAAGCAAAATGAAAAAAAAAAACAAACAAACAAACATACAAACAATAGTAACAAAAAGGAAAAATACAATGACATAGAGATAAACATATAATTTCAAGTTTAAAACTAATGAAATTTTCTTGAAATTCCAATTTGATAGAATAAAAATAATTTTTCATTCATTTATTTTTCTTCAATCTTACCTTTTGCATAACAGCAAAGCCAATACCGCCAGCAGTTGTACGAGTTGACATTTTTGGCGCTATTTGTTTTTAATGGAAAAAATAATTTGAACGAAATTTTTCACTGAGTGAAAAAATATATTTGCTTCAATGAATGCAGCTGTTTAGATGGATGGTTGAATGAATGAAGTGGAATGGTGTAAAGTAAGATTTAAAGCTAAATGTTGCTAGCAATGATAGATTAGCTTAGCAGATCAGAATAGTCGGTCGGATAGACTGGGGATGAGCTTGAACACAATTCCGCCGCCAATAGGCGCAATTTAGACGAGTGGCGGTTTTACAATGGATATATACACCACACCCACTCGTCCAGAATGATTGAAATATTTTTCTTCTTTCTCTTCTTCTTTCATTTTTATCGAAAAAAAAAAGTAAGTAAAGAAGAAAAAAAGAGAGAAAAGTAACATAAATTTTTTAGTAAGAATGAAAGAAATCTGTAGAAACGGAAGAATAAAAATAGATTACGAAGAAAAGAAATCATAGATTTAATTAATTTTTTAAATTAATCATTTTACTTTATCAATCTTCTGATTCCATCATCCATTGTAACTATTTGTTTAGCTTTCATATCATTTACATTAACTGCTTGAATCATTGTTGAGGTATGACTCATCATCCACTTATCACTAGTGTTAGCTGTAATTGTAAACTATCCGCTAGTGTAAGTATTTGCACTAATTGTTTATTACTAATAATCATTAAGTATGACTCATCATCTTATCACTATACTTGCATCTATGGATAATCATCCATCTATCGATTTTGTTATTCAAAAATTTTTATCACATTTCTTTTTCTTTCTTAGATAATCCATTATGCAAAATTCATAATTAGAATTTCTGTGCTTACTTAGCTATAAATCAGTTTGCTAATTTGTTAATAAAAAATTCCCATTTTGTTAACTATTATTAACAAAATTTAAGAATTTTTTGAAAAGAAATATTAGCAAAAAAAAAAAAAAGAAATTTGTTTGCTTCTTTCCAAATATAATGCAACTATTTAACGAATAAGTTTAGAGAGAAAAAAGCCGAACAACTGTTTTTAATTTTTTAACGTTTAAAATTCTTTTATTTTTCCTAAAAACTTAATGTTGAAATTTTCACATTTAAAAATTTTCTTTTTAAAGTACATTTTTTTCCATTTTTTTGTCGTTAATTTTTTTTGCTCTGAGCAATACTTCAAGAAAAAAGGAGTAACTTATTATTATTGCAAAAATTTTAGCTCTAAATTTTTGAACATAGGATAAAATTCATTTTGAATTATTGAAAAAAAATAAATGCTTACTTTATTATTTATCAAAGTAATTGATTAATTAACAAAAAGCAGTTAGAATATTAGATTAATTAAGTATTTTTTTAACATATGAAAGCTTAAATATGACTAATTTCTAATTGATTTATTATTAAAATCAATACACTGATTGATTTTTTGTAAATAATTTTGATTTTTGTAAATAATTCAGTAAAAAAAGTTTCTTAAATTTTGAATAAAATTTCACTACGTCAAATATACTTCGTACCAGAAAACATTTGCAGAAGTACTCAGTTTCCAAAATTAGATTTGATATTAGGAGTTGCCCGTTGGTAACTATCATGTCTGTCACAATTAAAAGTACCATGGTACCATGTATAACATATGAGGTGCTTTTTTAATTTATATGTATATACCAATACAACATTACAATATACTAATTGTGGTACCTCTGGCAACTCATAATTCATGGTTTTTTTGATAATTCATGGTACTTCTTGTAATAATTTTTAATTTATTAGCTATGATATTTATGAAACATTTTAAATATTCCCTGCAATAATTATGAGTCTTTTTTTTTAAAAAAAATACCAATTGATAACAATGTTTATTACTGTAAATATATAAATGCTACTTTTTAGTTGATAATAATTATCTTATCATTAGCATTAACATATTAGTGACAAAGCCAGAAGTAAATATATATGCATTCTAACAAAGAATAACATTTAATGATATCAAAAATGAAATGAATTATGCTAAAATAAAATTGATTTACATCACAATGATTTCATATAATCCATAATCCAAAATATTTTAGCAGTTTATTTCATTGCAAAATTCGTTTAAATTTGTAACTTCATTTTTTTTTTTATTTATGCAACATATTGAGCAAAACCTTTGGTAACAAATTAAAAAACGAATATATGAGTTTTGGTTACATCATTCTTATCACTACATTATCATTGTCTGATAAGAATGTAAAGTGAAATACATTATATATTATGCAAATTGAACTGTTTTTTTTTTAATTTAATAATTTGCAGCTAAAATCATTCAGAGTTTCAAATGGTAGTCATTTTTTTATTTTGTTTATCTAAATTCATCCAAAGTTACAAAAAAGTTATCAAAATAAATTTAAATATGAAATGAAATTTATCGATTGCTATTATATCATACAGATCATATCGTTGATTATCGATCTAATCGACCTATTAAATCAGACAATCGACCTATTAAAACAATTATTGAACTTAATAAGATAAGGCACTGTAGTAAATAATCATATCAATGGCGATTAATATCACCAGTTGATTGATTGATTGATTAGATTTGATATTATTTTTGGAATTGATAAGTTATCACATAAAAAGCTCATATGATAGATTACTTTTTTATCACAAATTAATGAAATAGAATTGCAATTTAGGGAGATTTAAACGATGGCAAAATTTTTCCTTTCCTTTCCTTTAATCAATCACTTACATAATTAATTTGATAATATAATTAGTAATTAGTTCTTACCATATCAATGCGTCATTGATTATCATTTTGATAACACCTTTTTTCCAATAATTTAGTCTACAAGATAAGTAATCTGATAATAACTAGTAGCATCAGGCAATTTCTTCATCGAGCATAACATGCCGTCATTATCATTATCACTATCATTCCCGATATCATCATCACCTTCATTATCATCATCGTCATTAGCTTCATTACCATTTTTGATTTCATTGTTTACAATATCCGAATTTAGACAGTTGCAAAGATACGTCAAACTGTTTAATATATCTGTAAAAATTTACAGATAAATTTGAAAATTTGTAAAAAACTTCAAAATATTTTAAAAAGGAAAAATATAAATAGAAAATTTGATAAAACAGAGGAGGGAAATAAAAATAAAAAAAAAATGATATCAATTATGCCAAATATAATATATCATAAAGATTCTCCAAGAAAATTATGTTCAAAAGTAATAAAACTGTTTTTTTTTTGAGTAGTCAAACAATTAGTAAACTTCAATTAGTCAAAAAAATTTTAGTCCATTGAAGAGATTTAACTGATCACACAAATCCAATCAAAAAAAAAACATAGTATAAATTACTTAATTGCTTGAAACATCATAGTATAAATTACTTAATTGAAATTACTTAACTGAAATTAGCAATTAAACAATGAGTCTCTTCTTTTTTTGCTCTTGCTTTTTTTTTTTTCAAAATTTGGCTGAAAAATTCTTTGATGAAATTTGAAATACTTGGACTTTTGTGTTTTGAAAAAAGCACGAGGCGGTAATTGCTTAATTAAATTAATTAAGATTACCATGAAAGAAATCATCATCATTTGTACTGGCGCATATTGTAAGTGGAAGAAATGGGCGGAAAACAACGTCACATAAGTCAATTAAAATGAGTGATATTCGAGCTGCCCGTAAGAAACGATTAATTTCACGGACCGAATTTGGGAAAAGTGTTGGCGTGAATAATAGCAAAGCATCTGTAATCATTATTCTATGGTCAATTAAAGATTTAAATAAAAAATATTTTGAAAAAAAAAATATAATCCTTAAAAAAAAAAAAAAACAATTTATTGATTTTTCTAAAATTCAAAATGTTAGTATTATGAAATAAAACAAATGCCATAAATTCCTTTCAAATGTTATATATTTCATGAAAATAAGCAGAAAAAGGCAAAATAGTCTTTAATTGCTATTTGTTTATAAAATAAAATAATTTCAACAAATTTAAAACTTTCATTTTATGACATTTGCAAAAAATTTTTACAACAGTAATATTCTGAGATTTAAAATTAAAAAAGAAAAAGTACTAATAATAGTAATTAAGCGATCAATAAATAAATATTTTAGAGTATCAAACATTTTAAGTTGTTAAATTAGCAAAGAGATGGTGAAAAAAATGTTTTTTTTTGAAAAATAAATTTTTGTTCTGCTATTCTATTATTGTACTACCGCTATTATAATTATAGTTATAATTATTATAAATGCAATAATAATAATAATAACTATTATTGTTATCTGTTATCATTATCATTTATCAAATAATTGGTTATTATTATTATTATTACCAATTATTATCATTAATAATAATTTTCAATTATTGCCAATTGTTATCACTAACTACCATCAATTGTTGCTATCAGTTATTATCAACTATAATTGTTGTTCATTATTTTATCATATGGCAATTCCATGTTTGAAGAAATACAAACAAAAGCCATATGATAAAATTATGATTCTAAGGCAAACATAGAAAGATACTGAAAAATTTTTAAAAATGAAAATTTTAAAAATAAAATAATTTCAAGAGAATTTCAAAGTGTATTTTATAACGTTTGTAAAAATTTTCACGTGGTTACACCATATGCTTCGGAATGAAATGATAAAAGAAAGATTGATAATAATAAAGAAAATATTTGTTTTCTTTTATGAGAATTATTTTCAAAATATTTCAGTACTGTAAACATTTCAGAGAATATGACCTAATTTATGGTACTTTATTGTTGCAGAAAAACTTCATAATGTGATATGTATGAAATTAATGGCTGTTTTGCAATATAAAATTAAATTTTTCAAATCAGTCTGAAATAAATTATTGTCTTTATCTTATTTCTTTTTCGATTTTTCAACTTTTATTTGTTTACTTTCATTAAGTCATTAAAATTTCAAAAAACTTTTGTATTTAATCTTATAATAAATTTCAAATATATGTTTTCAATTTTTTAATTTTACCTGTATATGCATC